ATTATTAATTTAATATATATAACTTATTTATTTAATATTAAATGTATATGTAAATTAATCATTGCTTGTAATGACCAATAATCATCTTATAAATTATTTATTATTTCGTTTCTTACAGTTGATTTCAGGGCATATTCACGATCAAAATTTTTTACCGCTGATTAAGAAAAATATTAAAATTGTAAATATTTTTATTCTTGAAGACATAAAAAATCATGTTATTTCACGAAAGTTCAATTTCTTATGTAATGTAAAGTTATTTATTTTATTTTTAGACGATACAAACTTAAGAAATCTGTAAATTTTAAATTTTGATAGCTTTTAGCTGATATTGTTCCAAACATTCTTAACAAAAATATTACATATTTGTGTGATAATCTCGGCGTTATTAAGAGAGTCCTAGCACTTCTATCACTTGTCATATCATCGTGCCTGAGCGCGTAAAATGTCAGCTCTGTGATTAGCCAACTTTAATCGCTATTAATTTAAAATTATTATTATTATTATTATTATTTTTAGTACTTGTATTCAATTGTGGATCGTACATTTCTGGAGTATCGGCCGTTTCTTCGTTCTGTGAAAATCTCATATTTATTCTGTAAATATAACGTTTTTGTTATTTTACTAAAAATTTTTACTTTTAATTTTACTGAAAAAAAAAGTAATTATAACTGTAACGGTTTACAAAAAAAAAGAGGATAACACCGTCACCACATTAGGAAGTAAGAACAATAATGTAGGAAATTTTAAGAATACTTACATATCACAGCAAGTTTTTATCTTTAATAAAGCACTGAATGTAGATCGTCGAGTTAACTTTGACATCATTTTTTCAATGTCATTTATTGGTTGAGCAACTTTCATGCTTAGAAAATGTTGTCTGTAATTATTATATAATAAAATACAATAGTTAATATTTAATTGTTTTACCATTGTGTACCGTCGAGTACACGGGTTTTTAATAATTTGTTATTATATGTAAAAGTTAGCTTCATACTTACTGTAGTAATGTATACGTCAGGCTGTTTAATTTGTTTTGAATTTTAAAAATTAGTTCATTTTTAGCATTGTTTTCGCTCAAAACACGTTGTACGGTAAACGCGATCTGCTGAATTTTGTCGTTAAAAAATTGATCTAACATTTTCGATTTTTTTGTAAAGATTTTTCTGTAAAAAAAAGAGGATAACATCGTCACCACATTAGGAAGTGAGAACAATAATGTAGGAAATTTTAAGAATACTTACATATCAGAGTAACTTTTTATTGTTGATAGTGCGTAAAAAGTAGATTGTTTAATATGAATTAACTTTGACACCATATTTTCAATGTCATGTATTGATTTGGCAACTTTCATGCTTAGAAAATTTCGTCTATAATTGTAATAAAATACAATAATTAATATTTAATTGTTTTACTATCGTGTACCATCAAGTACACGATTTCTTAATAATTTGTTATTATATGTAAAAGCTAGCTTCATACGTACTGTAGTAATATATTCTTCAGGCTGTTTAATTGTTCTCGAATTGTAGAAATTAGTTTATTTTCAGCATCGTTTTCGTTCCAAGCATCCTGCCCGGTTACCACAAGTTCCTGAATTTTGTCATAAAAAAATTGATCTGACATTTTCGCTTTTTCTGTAAAGATTCGAAAAAATCAATAGTTAATAAAGTGTTAGTATAACAGTTATTTTTGCAGAACTTACAAAATGCTTACATAAATAATCAGTTTATACAGTAACGACATAACAAACTCTTCAATTTAATTCTTAGAATGTCATTATTTAACAGATTTTTAGATTGTCACAATTCATTTTTTAAATAACTTTGTTTACGTTTTTTAAAAATTTTAAAATTTACTTCTGTTTTTAAAGTATGTACTAAATTACGTTAATTAATGGAAAGAATTAATAAAATTTTGTAAATATCAACAATATATAAACCTATATTGATTCTTATATTAAGATTATGATGCAATTTTCGTGACATGCAATACGTACAGTTGCTTATATCAGAAATTGAACAATCTTCGAAAAGGCGTATCCATTTGTTTTGTAAAGCGCTTCTTTTCATCAACATTTTAGTTAGAATTCAATAAAGTCGCGTTTCCTATTGCCTATCAAAGCAATTATATGAAGCACCGTAGCAAATATACCATATTACCTAGCTACTATTCGATTAATGCGAAAAGGTCATTCCACCATTTTCCTACCTCTGTCGTAAAACTTACTATTGCGAGAATAAAATTCTTTTCCATTAATTGATGTGTACGCACGATTATTTCACGGCTTTTGAATTAGTTCAAAAATTGCGCCCTATTATTCTCGAGAGCTGCGCGTGAACGCTTGGTTATGACCACGCAAAAATTTTACGCTTTTTGTTGTTTCGTACAATGTGCGAGCCATAATCGCGCGATGAGGCGAGTGCAACGACGATTCGTTGGAAAAATCATTGTGCATCAGAGACGCGATCTAAAAATAATGCAAACGCATTTTCCATCTACGTGTCTCCCGGTGAGTTTTTACGGCGAAGAAAATGGCTGCTCCGTAGGAGAAAATAGGGCAATCAGCCGTCGTATCATTTATATTGGGAGAACAATTTTACACGCTATTGCCTTGAGAATAGTACTTAAAAATCGTTATCTTTCAAATACAAAAAGAATACGCTGCTCCATTAAATAAGATAAAAACGTCGGTAGCAAAAAATTAGAAATAATAACCGTGGCAGAGAGCATAAAGCTTTCAAATAAGTTCCTCGTATAGCGACAGATAAAATGCAACTGAAACCGGATTGTTCCCGTCTCTTGACAGCGTGCCCGCAAAAAAAAATTTTTTCTACAAAAAAAGTTAA